TGCTGGAAAAAGGTTCGCTGACAATAGATGGGCCTTGGAGTTAAATATCAGAAAGGTCAGAATGTGGAAAGGGACTTAGTGAAATGTGAAATGTTGCAGCCTTGACAATTTAGAGCAGTTATATTCAGTCTGTAATCCTCAGGTGGCCGTTTTCCCTTGTTCTTCTCTCTTTTTCTCTTTCTGTTGTTTTTTTCTTTCCCTCTCTGTCTGTCTGTCTGTCTGTCTGTCTGTCTGTCTGTCTGTCTGTCTGTCTGTCTTCATCTCCCTCAATCTGTCTTCCTACATAGAGGTGAAGGCACAGCTTGGGAGGGACACATAAGAGAGAATGATGGAGAATGCAGCTAAAAGGTTAAGGAGGCTGTAATCCTGCTGTAAAGGACAGCCAAAACTCACACTGTGATTCAGCTGCTCCAAAAAATTTGACAAAAATAAATAAATAACTAAATAAAAAACTCCCAAAACAAATAAAGGCCAGCAAGCTGTCTTTCTGCCCGACGACAGCTTCATAATAGAAAGGGACAAGTTTCACAGAGGCCGCGGGTTTCTGAGTATAAATGCAACCTAACACAATGGGGAATCAATATGGAAATTAATAAACACACCCGTAAGCAAAATCAATCACGGCACTGGTATCGCTGGATATATTCGTATCACTATACGTCCCTACACACGAGTACGAGGGCACTGCAATTCCAGCCCTGCGAAGGCAGTAAAGATGAAGACCGCAAGCTAACAAGCAAGTGTAAATGTGAACAATGGATCATTTTAAATGTTTAAAAATCATAAATTCCCCTTAATATTTATCTTACACCTCAAGGAGACAAATAGCAACGCATTGTGGTGCTTGCTTACAAGTAAAGTCCGCAAGGCACCATTAATCTCTTTATCCCTCCCAAACACACAGACAGGTGCGCAATTACAAATGCATGATATGTGTGAAAGTATTGCTCAATTTTTTAAGATACCAAATTTGGAAGACTGAATTCTTTACGTGTAACATTATATGTCACAGTGTGGCCAGGGACATGCGTGTGAATAATTTATCACACTTAAGAGGAAATCCGAGGGGCTGTGGAAGCTCGGTCTATCTTAACAAGAGATAGGAGATGCAACAAATTGTTTTTTCCTCTTTAAATGGGCTTTAAGACTCCACAGGCTGTGTCCACCATTTCTTTTTAATTTGGGATAAACAAAGAACAGAACAGAGATATTGAGCCTTGGATTGACTGGGGAAGCTGGACAGCACAGCAGCAGGAGGCCACTGAATAGGAACTTCCTGCTTAGGTCATGCTTTGCATCTCAAGTCAGCGCGATTGCATCTGCTGGCCGGCAACAGCCTTCCCTCACTGGGGTCATCAAACATCCCAGATAGATAATTGTAAAAGATCATAGGAGCAATTTTCTCTAAAACAAAAACATGGGGCATCTGCTCTGTTTTCGAATCACACAAGCCAATATTTGTTCTTGTTTTCTTGGAAAGTTTTCGCCCTGTCTGCTTGGCGTGCAGATCTTCTCGGCAGCACTCAGGGAGCAGCCCCTCCTTCCTCGAGGCAAGCACAGTCGGCCAACCAACAGGATTACCATGGTGTGTTACTGTTTGCTGCGGCCCTGCTGCAGTCTAACCAGGACTGGGGCTCTTATACAGTTTTCACATCTTTCTAGCATCTGGAGGTCATCTGGTAAGATGGAAAAAAAACTGTACCATGTTTCTTCTGGGGTAGTTAATCTACAGGTTTGGCAACCGATCGGACTGTTCAGTACTGGCGCTGAGCTGAGTAACACATGGCAGCCTGCTGCCTGTGAGGGCTACATAGGAATGATAGTTGAGTGGTCCAAATCAAGCCAAAACGTACAACAGATTTTGCTGCACTTATCTCAAATGGACTCATGATGAGGGATGAATTTAGGAGTCGGAAAGGTTGATCTCAGAGTGTCTCTCAGAATCAGCGTTATTCAGAGACGTGAGCATGAAGGACTCTGAGGACGAGTTTTACAGGCAGGCTGCAAGCAATGAAAGCGACACGCTGTAAAACCTGGTACGAAATAATGTGAGCATTATACAAACAAGAAGCGCACGGCGCAGCAGGAGCGTATTATAACCAGAACTCCACCTCGTTGAAAGCATGTGAATTTACAGGTCTTTTTTTTCATGTTTGTCGATCAATTTCTCAATGCAAAGCTCTTTTACAGATAAACATTGACCTCGTCGGGTTTGTCCTCACAAAATTGACCCATCTGCAGCCAATCTAGCACTCTGGGGCTGAATACTGCTTAGCTGTGTCCCCGCACATCATTACCCCCCTCTTCACTCCATTCACTCTGACTCAGAGCAGGAAAATGACTGAGTGATATAACCAAGGCTCCAGTGTCTCCAGCAGCGTCGCTGCTCCATGCTCTCGGTACGTGCTGTAAGGCCACATCAGAGAGAGCGAGTGAGCAGTGGGCTACGGTGCTGATGTTGCACATTAGATCACCTACACATGACCTCAAACGCTACCTGCTCGGACATCTTGGATGTGCGGTGCTGTGGTAGAGGGCAGAGACCATCTCTGTCTTTCTCGCTTGCTCTTCTAGAGCAACACTGTGGTCAGTGCAAACATCAGAGTGTTTATGAACAAAGAGAAACGCTCTGGTGAATTAGCCCCGTCAAAATTAGCTGCAAAACCTGCGCTCTCTCTAACAATCAACCATGCTGGTATTGAAAAAATAAACAGCTAGTGCAATCTGTATTGAGCTTTATGTTATTTTTTTATTTAAGGAGTCTTTCTTTGATCTTTGTTCAGGGCACTGCTAGAGAGGTTTAAAGGCTTTCCCTCTGTTTAATGGAGGAAAATGAGCCACAGCTTTGATATCAGTGCATCAGATGTTTTACTTGCACAATGCTCTGCAGGACGCTAATGGCGCAGAATCCATATGATAGGCTTTCTCTATTGTTTGCTGGAAATGAATCCCTTATAACTGAATTGTATAACCTCTTATTTAACCATTATTTTTTTTCACTGTGGTTTTACTATGCAAAACACTCTCTGAGTCATCGTATGGGAAGACTTTACCTCATGCACGCAGGAATCTTATTATGATCACATCCGATTAGGGATTTGTACTTTTCTCACTTGATCAGCATCACCACTACAGCAAAGGTGCTTCATGCCTTTTACTCAGCTCCTGTCACAACTGCATACTGTTGCTTGGCAACAATCACACAACCATTTCATCCAGAATCACCATTTTTCTTTCTGAAAATCAGTTACGGTTACAGATTGGAAAATTGGTAGTGGAGACGTTATTGGTACTGAATATGAACAGTGTGTATGACTCTACTGCATTATACCGGTCTGTACTGCAAAAACATAAAACCCTGTGTGTGTATATCTGTGTACATGCACAGAGATACACTTGGTTATAGTGTATTTACTTATAATTTTACAGAGAGGATTTAACCAAAAGTAGGAACTAAAAAACAACAATTAAAAATATATATTATCATTCACATGACTCATGAACTGTTTCCTCTTCGAATTCCAATTTAAAAAAAAACGTCCTTGTTGGAAGTATTTATTTATTTATTTATTTATTATGACCGAAACCAAAGTGTGCCTGGTAAGAATGAATTATGCTCCATTTTCTTGGGTGAGTCAGCAAAAGCTATGATTAGTGGAAGCAGTTTAAAAAAAAGATGAATCTCATATAAAGTGTTTCCATGGAGACTGAAAATGATGAACTTTGTGTTTATAACAACAGAGGAACTATACAACAGTCAGCTCTCTGCACAATAATATGTCAGAACAACCAACATATAAAACTTATGATAAACCATTTTCTCATTACCAAACACGGGGAAGATAATTGAAAAATTCCAACTGGAAGGGGAATATTAAATAGATATTTCTGTGTATATTCCACAACTGGGACTAATTCAGAAGCAGAACTGCCTGAAGGGCTAGTCTGTCTCGAACAAAATTGGTTTACCAAAGCTGAATGTACGAGGCACAGAGTGAGGCCAAGAGCTGTCTCCTGTCTCCGTGGAAATCAGCAGCAGAGGTCTCCCAGCTGAAACGGAATCTTTACTGTGCAGCGAGATATGCTCAGGATCACAACTTTAAGGCTACCTGGAAGGGCCCCCGGTGCCTTAAGGGAAAGCTGGGAAAATTAACACTCTTTTGTCAAGAGTGGTTGTGCTTTAGCCGCTGCTAATAAAATTGTGATGTGCTTTTCCGTGGCTGCGCGTGAGGCCATTTGCTACACGGATAGATCAAAGCTGTCGTGCCAGTAAAACACCCCACCGCCCCTTATTTGAACAATGGGAATAATCAATTTGAGATAGAGGTGGCGTTACACTTTTTTTGTAGAAAATTAAATCAACCGCTGATGCTGGGGTGCTTTCAGGTGTCGTGCTTGACGAATACTTTCAATAAGCCGCTTAAGTGCTGTCTGAAACGGGACTCAAGTTCCTTGTAGTAGCAAATTAACATTTCAGGGATAGTTTAAAATAATAATAATATTCATTTAAAAAGGCATTTATGCTTCTGATTTAATCAACAGTTGTATTTACCTTTAAACAAATGCACTTTAGACATGAACAATCCACACAGTGTTGTGAAAAAAAAAACACAGGTTATCAGTAGACATCACAATCTATCGCTGAACAAAAATTCTGCCGCTTATTTGAAGACCTGCAGTTTTACTCCTTGACTTTAGCTCGCACATTTAAACAACACAACAACCTAAACACACACACACTTACTCACACAGGCATGCAGCACAGCACAGCCACTCACTCATCTTTCACACTCATGTCAAGGTTGATCTGAGTCACAAGTCCCATGTTCATCCCAATTAGCACTTTGATTTGGGAGTTGATAGGTGGTGATATTGGCGGCTTTGGAAGGATGCACCCATCACTCTCCTCTCTCTTTCACTCTTTCAATTCCTCCCTTTCGTTCCATGTTTTTCTTTTTTCTTTCTTTTTCTTTTCTTTTTTTTTTTTTTTTTTTACATACCTCCTTTTCTACACATTTTCTTGTTGGGTTTCCTGGCACATTCCTTGGATATTCTTTTGACTGTAAAATGAATGGAAAAACTACAAAATAACAGAGAGCTCTGGAAAAGATCGCATGTGACATGCAACAACTCAGACTGAGTTAGAACCCGTCTTCTCCCTCTTTCCCTCCTCCTCCCACCCTCCCGGTCTTCATCAACAACAAGAACAACAGAGGACCTTTTGAAAAAGTAACTGGGGTGTTGCTGCAGAAATATTCCAAAATGGTGGAATGAATTTGCTGCACCCTGGGACACAAGAAGCCCATATTCACATGCACTTCTATTTAAGACCCATTACGACCACACGGAAGGCAGAGAGGCTAGGTTTTGGAAGATATTGGAGCTCACATCCGAATCTGTTAAGTGATATTTGACGTTGTATGTGCGACGCTCAGAGCACTTAACATTTCAAGCCCATTTTCCTGTGTGGCTCTCCTTCAAGTGATAAAGAATAGGGTCTGTTTAAAAGAGATATATAGAAATCAAACACTTTTAGCAATGTCAGTCTTCACAAATTCCCAATCTGTGTTTGCCTTTTTGCACAAAGTCTCCTTTTGCATTTCTCTTTGTGGAAAGACAAACTGGAAGTAGAAAGGAGAGTAAAGGGTCTTACATAGGTCAGGCTGATGCCACAGGCCTCTCATGTACCAGACAGAATATTTCACCAACCCTACAGAAGATCATTCACTTATGAGGCAGGCTACTAATTGCTAATATCCCCAGAACAATCAAGACGGTGAGGGTAGGAAGGTGCACCGAGTATTTCCAATCTGTTTCATGTCTGATTAGATTTCATTTTTCTTTATTTATTTTTCTCAATAAGTCATATTTAAGAAGTCATTTAGTCATCAAAAGAGGAACCTCTAACAGTGGCATGGAAGGGGAGAGTTGATGAAAAGACTAAATGAGAGATCTAGTCAAGATGGGATGTCGTATGATGGACACGGACACAGCATGCGCTAAACAACGGTTCATGCTTCGCGCAAAAAACAAAGGTGGCACAAAATCTTAGAGAAGAAGACAGAAGGAAGTGGGAAGCAGAGACAGGAAAGAAGAGGAGGAGAGGTTTGGTTTCTTCCTGTGTACTCGACACACTCACCATCCTCTGTTGGAACATAGATGTTTAGGTAAAGACAATCCTCATGTTGATCTTGTATGTATGTGGTAACTATATCCAGGTTGAAAGTGAACCATATCGGCATCATTATCTCTGGCACGGCATTGTGTATATTTTGAGGGCAGACAGGAGCAAAATGGGTGGCGTTCTTGATTCCTGACCAGGAAGATGGAGGCTCCGGGGGCATGAAGCGTTTTTCTCCCACCGGGGAGGCAGCGTAAGGAACCCCCAGATACTGGTCGACCGGCCCGAGAATCTCGCTAGGCAGGGGGACCCTCACCCCTCTGAGTTTCCCATACTGTGTGTTCACAGTGGGGTGGTAGTTCTGACCACTCACAGCCGCAAAGCACCAACAAAAACTTAACACCCACAAGGACACGCTGAAATTGGTGCAATTATAGGCACCGTGCCAGTTCTGCGAGGGGAAACGATTTCTCCCGGGAGAAAACCACATGGTCCTTGTGAGCGAGTACAAGTGCAAGTGACCAACATACAAGCCAGGGCACCGCCCTCAGCAAATGCACAGGCTTCCCACTCAGCCCAGTAGTGCAGGCACCTGAGGGACAGTCATCAGCTGGGATACTGGAGCCCACCAGCTTACAGATGAGACAGTCAAAAGTTGAGCAGTTCCTGTCTGTGGCGAAGTCCTTATTCACTGTCCTTCCTCCGCTCGTCGGATCTTCTAACCAGTGCTACAAAAGAAGGACAGAAAAATTAATGACAGTTACTTGAAAATCCACCTGTTTGCTCCCATTTTCAATCAGTCATTTTTATCCACTTTTTGAGTCCTTTTTTATTTTTTAGTCATGACATAAAAAAAGCTCACATAAACATGACAGAGCTCTTAGTGCAATCATCAATCCATATAATCAAGAACCTGTCTTTGACTTGGATATTGCAATTAAGTGTTGGGTAACTTGTCAAGATGTACCAAATAATGCTAACAGGACAATTGAAGTGTGAAAGCCATCAGCTGTCATTAGGTAATTATTCTCTACTTTACAGTCTGACGTTTATATTAACGGTTAATATTTAGACAAAAGGCAGTGGTAAAACTAGCAGTGGGAGTCACACATGCATAATAACACGCATAACACATAATTTCATGTCATTTTTAATGTTGGCAGCCTTTTCACTGCGTAGCCCTTTGGAGTAGTTATGCACAAGGTATAAATTAAATGTCATTCTCATTGTTTGCTTATTCAAGAGATCACTTTTTGGGATGAATACAAAAGGGGGGAGGGGAGGATGTTCGCTACAGGCAGCAGGTCCCTCCAGTGACAGCGCTGCAAATGCTAATCAACAGTCCCAGGGTGAACCAGTAACAACACCTTCCCACGCTGCTTGATCAATTTTCAATTTCTGTGGCTTAGGGTCCCTCTCAACCTTGTGTGCCTACTGCAGAGTTTGCTCTAATAACAATGGAGAAGAAAAGCCAGCATTTAGAGGAGGATATTGCATTCCAAAATGACTGTGTAAATGATTTATAATGTATCAGCAGCCGTTGGAGGGCACCTAACCGCTGAGAGAAACCAATCCTGACGTTTCTGGAGGTGCTGTTATCGCTAGGCAGCTATTACCATCCGCCGCAGCTGTGGATCAGCAGACAGTCTGCCGGTGAAATCTATATGCTTAGTTGTATATGCAAAACCTCACTTCAGATCAAAAACATAATGCATACGTGCATGCACATATTTAGTAAATACTTAAAATCAGGCCACTTTCAATAACACTTGTGTGCTGGACAATTCTGCTCAGAGATTGTGGCACACAGAGTCCCTGTTGAATGATAATACACGAAAAAAACCCATCCATATCCAGTGTGGGGACTAAAAGGTATTCATATTGCTGGGGGGGGGGGGGGGGGGGGGGGGGGGGGGGGGAATGGTGGAAGGCTTCAAAATTTAAAAAAAGCCAATCTGGCAAAGTCGGGTCACTGCTCAGTAGGATCCCTGTACCAGAAGCAGAAAACCTATCTCACTTCACTCATGTATATATATGTGTCAAGGGTCGCTGTGTGGCAGGCAGGATGAGGACCCAAACGCAAAACTCACAGACACGGGGATGAACTCAAAAGCAGCTTTAATGCTGGCACGGCAGAATACAGGAAATACAGAACTAACTGGGGAAAAGTAAACTAACACTCGGAGAGAGACACAGGGAAATCCACACAGCATGAGGGAGAACGCGACACAGAACTGAGGGAGACGCAGACATAAATACACAGAGGGTTAACGAGGGAAATGGGAGCACACGGGGAACACAGGTGACACTGATAATAATCACGAGACATGGCAGGAGTGAACACAACACTGACGGGAGACGGGCGGGGTGAAACAGGAAGTACAGAGGTTCAGACAGGAGGAGAGAGCACGGGGAGAACACAGACATAACAGGCTGGGGGAAACATGGAATACAACACGAAAGGGGACAAGGGCTCATGAATACATAGAGGGGCACACAGGGGGTGAGAGTCACAAAGGGAAAGCACACAGGGAACAACATAACAGGGCAACTCAGGAAACAGAACCTAAACAGGGAACTGAATACAAAAACACATGAGAAAACCAAGAACACTGGGCCAACATGGCCCAGGACCATGACAGCACCCCCCCCTCAAGGGCTGGCTCCAGACAGCCCAAACACAGAAAAACAAAACCAAACAGAAAACAACCCAGGGCGGGCGGCGGGGGCCCAGGACGGAGGGACCAGAACAGGAAACAAAACCACCAACAGAAAACACAGGAGCACAAGACACTAGTCCATAATAAATGTCAGGAGGCCGACCCAGGGCCCACAGGCACAAAAGTACATGGGTCACACGGTCGGGGGGCCGACCAGACGGGTGGCACAGGTGACAGAGCTGGTCCGGAGGCCGGCCGCGTGGAAGAAGGCGGCGGCCAAGGAGACGATGGAGCAGTTCAGGAGGCCGACCGTGCGGAAGGCAACGGCGGCACACCGGCGTCAGGCATGTTGGCCGAGGCCCGGTGGGCACAGGACCGGACGAGGCAGGACCAGACTGTGGCGTGGCGGCCACAGGCGAAGACTGGGCCGGACCAGGCGAGGATGGAGCTGCAGCAGGCAAAGCACAGGCTGGAGCTGCAGCAGGCGAGGCGGAGGCTGGGCCAGACGAGGACGAAGTCTCGGACGAAGCCGGGGCCAGACCAGGCGGCGCAGAAGCAGATGGCGGCTGGACGGGCCCCTCGGGCCCTCCAGCGGAGACGAGGAGCGGCTGGAGAGGTTCCCCTGAACCCCCAGCGGAGACGAGGAGCGGCTGGAGAGGTTCCCCTGAACCCCCAGCGGAGACGAGGAGCGGCTGGAGAGGTTCCCCTGAACCCCCAGCGGAGACGAGGAGCGGCTGGAGAGGTTCCCCTGAACCCCCAGCGGAGACGAGGAGCGGCTGGAGAGGTTCCCCTGAACCCCCAGCGGAGACGAGGAGCGGCTGGAGGGGTCCTCCTGAACCCCCAGCGGAGACGGATGCAGAGCCAGCGGGTGCGGGGTCCTCTGGCACCGCGGGCGCTGACTGTAGCGGCACAGGGCACGCAGCCGGCTTAGGATGCGACGGCTGGAGCTGTGTAGGGCAAACAGTTAGTTTAAAGTGTGTTAGCACCGCGTCATCCTCAGCTGGTGAAGAAGGCTCACAAAGGCTTCCAGCTGAGGTGGGCAGTGACTGAACGGGTTGCTGGGCTAAGCACTGAGCTGGTGACAGAGACAATAACTGAGCTGATAAACTAACAGGCAATGAAGCAAAGGACTGGAGCGGTAACAGGGCGGATGACTGAGCAGCCTGAGGGGCTAATGGCTGCGCTAGAGACTGAGCTGGTAACAAAACAGAAACCTGTGCTATGACCTGAGCTACTGACTGCGCTAAAGACAGGGGTGTACGTTGCAGTGATGGCGGGATAGCAGGTAGTAGAATCGATGACTGAACAGGAGACGGAGCTGCTAACTGTGCTACAGTCTGGACTGGTGACAAAACAAGAATCGGTGTTAACAACTGAGCTACAGACTGTGTTATGGATAGTAATGCTAGTTGAAGTGGTAGTTGTGCTTGTGGTTGAACAGGTGTCTGACTCTGGGCTGCTCTCCTTCTGGGAACAGGAACAGGTGCTAGGCCTGGCCGAACACCAGCCATCCCCACCCGAGAAACAGATACGGGTGCAGGGACGAGCTGGGCTCTGGCTGCCTTTACCCTGGGGGCCGGTGTAGGCGCAGGAGCTAGCTGGACCTCTGTCGCTCCCACCCGAGGAACTGAGACGGGTGCAGGAGTCGGCAGGGTCACGGCTGACCTCACCCGGGGAACCGGAACAGGAGCAGGCAAAGGCTGGGTGTCCATCAACCCCACCCGAGGAGCAGGTACGGGTGCCGGGATGAACGGCGCCTCTGCCAGGCTGGGGACAGAAGCAGGGACCAGCTGGACCTCAGCCACCCTCTCCCGAGGAACTGGTACGGGAGCAAGGGAAGGCTGGGCCCGCGCTGCCCTGGTTACAGGAACTAGAGGCGGAGAGCGAAGCACAGGAACAGAAACAGACACAGGGAAAATCGAGTTAGTGGAGCTAGAAGCAGTGTTAGCGAACAGAGATTCATGGCGAGTCACTCCTGGCAACTCTGTAGGCCTTAAGCTGTCCATGTTAGGTGTAGCAGTCTCTAAAACAGTCATTGCACAGGAAGATCCAGGTTTAGCAGAGTCAGAGTCAGTAATATCGAGCACAAAGGGATCCGTTGCGGACACAGGAGCATTCACACAAACGGTTTCTAAATATACAGGTTGGAGAGCAGCATAGTCCAGGAGTGAAGAAACACCATTCACAGTCTTATACTCAGCAGGTACAGGGACCTCAGAACTGTTAACTTTACGGTGTTGTTCATGAGTATGCAGCTCAACAATAGTCTTTTGCTTCTCTAAGGTGAGATTATCAGTCTGTGTGTTAATTGCTGCTGACCTGGGAGGAGCACAGGAAAGATAATCACTCTGAAACATGGGCGTGAGGGTAGGTAATGCAGGTTCAGGATTAACCGACCCAGAATTACCAGACACGGAGTTAACGGTCTCTGGGATGACGCACACAGAGTCTACAGTGCCGGAGTTTTTTAAGTCAGCCTGAACAGCAGTCTCTAGGGGGGCAATGAACTCAGTCTCATGCTTAATAGGTGCAGAGGTGAACTTAGAAACATTATGAGCCCTGGAAACACAGTCATATTCAAACTCACTATTCATTTCTGATGTGTTACGGACCTGAAAAACAGCGGACTCAGGAGCAGAATATTGTCCGAGTCGGTCCGACTTGGAAGTGGCATGGAAAAAACTGTCAGAGTCACTCACCACCGGAGTTTGCTCAGTAACTTTAGGGTGGCGACGGCGTGAGCGCCGTTTATTCCTGGGAACTGTGCCGTGAGTTCCCGAGGCAGTGGGCGCAGGCACTTCGGTGATGTCGGCTGGCTGAGCCGATGACGAACCGGGCTGCGCCGGAGAGACGGGGAGCTTGTGCAGCTCCGAGCGTGGAAGTCCCAGGAAGAGCGCAAAGGACTGCAGCGGAGATAGGCTGCTTGTCGGAGGCACGAAATCTCTCCTCGGCCGCCGAGTAACCCTCTTCTTTGCGCAGGACGTGGGCGGCGACTGGGGAGGAGAACCGGAAGTTGAGAAGGCCGGAGGAGTTGTGGCAGGCGATAGGCTGAATCCTCCGACTCTGATCGCCGTGGGACGATGTGGGGAAAACGCAGCAGCGTTGGCAGTTTGGAGGCTGCGCGGCCCACCTAGAGCCAATCGAGTCCCATAGAAGGCAGACTCGCGCTCCCGGGCATGCCGAGCCTCCTGCCTTCTCCTCTCGTTAGGGAAGGCGGAGTCTGCACGCTGCCGGTTCCGTACGGAGTTTGCTGGGTCCATTACTGGTCGCGTTCTTCTGTCAAGGGTCGCTGTGTGGCAGGCAGGATGAGGACCCAAACGCAAAACTCACAGACACGGGGATGAACTCAAAAGCAGCTTTAATGCTGGCACGGCAGAATACAGGAAATACAGAACTAACTGGGGAAAAGTAAACTAACACTCGGAGAGAGACACAGGGAAATCCACACAGCATGAGGGAGAACGCGACACAGAACTGAGGGAGACGCAGACATAAATACACAGAGGGTTAACGAGGGAAATGGGAGCACACGGGGAACACAGGTGACACTGATAATAATCACGAGACATGGCAGGAGTGAACACAACACTGACGGGAGACGGGCGGGGTGAAACAGGAAGTACAGAGGTTCAGACAGGAGGAGAGAGCACGGGGAGAACACAGACATAACAGGCTGGGGGAAACATGGAATACAACACGAAAGGGGACAAGGGCTCATGAATACATAGAGGGGCACACAGGGGGTGAGAGTCACAAAGGGAAAGCACACAGGGAACAACATAACAGGGCAACTCAGGAAACAGAACCTAAACAGGGAACTGAATACAAAAACACATGAGAAAACCAAGAACACTGGGCCAACATGGCCCAGGACCATGACAATATGTATATGTGTGTGTGTGTGTGTGTGTGTGTTTTATATAAAACATTTTGTTTATTATGTAAATTTTACACAAGACATGGACCTGCAATAAACCAATTCCACAGCATTCAAAGGCCGAGCTAATGTGAAACACTTGAACATAATCAGATACTGTGAAAACACAGCACTATAAGAACTAACCCGCAAAAGCATGATAAATAAAAACTACACTGTAAGAAATTTCCCCATTAACTAACAGCAAAGCACCAGCAGCTACAGCGATCAAATTTGAACTGCTATTTTGCAGTTATTGTTTTCTATATCAACAGCTTATAACTGTAAAAGAATAGAAAAATCACAGTACAATACAAGTCTAACATTATAGTTTTGATAGCTTGCTTGCAACCATACAGAAAAGTTTATTACTGTAAAATCTAATAACATGTACTTGAACTAAGACAAGAAATCACCTTCGCTACACTCCCTGCGCTCTTTACACCGCACCGTTATGGGAATGCTGCCATATTCAAGACGAGAACTAACCAACTGCTAAGTGTTTTGGTCATTGTGGCTTATTTTCTTGACCAAGAAACCATGCTCTGCATCTCCAGTAATTAAAGCTTAAACACAACTAAACTCAAAATAACAGCACTTAAATAAATTATTTAAGCTTAACGTTTGCTCTTGTGTTCGCCGAAGAAAAAATAGTGCATTATACCGTAAATATGCACAGCAGCTTGCTGATGATATTTTTTCCTGTTTTTAAAAGTGATTTGTTGTCTATTTAACACAACAGCCTTGTGCAAAATCCTACTATATAGATATATATTTTAGAGATACACTAAAATAAATTTGCTGTATGTCTAACAATCACTCCACCTTATTCATATTCAGCCTATTAATACCAATAAAATGTCGACATCCTTTAAAAAAAACAAAAGCACCACAAACTATACTCTTAAATTACCACAAGGTCAAATAAATACCAATGAAACTACTTCTAAAACAGATTTTTCCTAGTATTCTAATCTTTATAACGGCAGGATACATTGCATTAAAGCTAAGTATTTAAGTACTATTAAATTCTAATGACAGAAAGCTAATGGCCAGGCCTATATGTCAGGTTGTTTTTCAAAAACAGTTTCTGCTTCAATTGCACATGATTTGTGTTTGATTTCAAGTTATGCCACAAAAAAGCTCCACATATTGATTCCCTGAAAAAACAGAAATGCTTGACAAAGGAGGCTTCATAAAGGCCATCCATTCACACATTTGCAGACACAGATAGTCAATTTTCCATCGCAATTTTAAATGAAGTATTTTCTGTTTGGATTTTCTCACACCGTCTGAGAATAGGAGTGATGGGACTAATTCTAGTCAAGATAAAATACATCAGGTCAAACTTTTTAATCAGGACATAGCAAGGACATAGGACACTGTGATGGAGTGTGTGTGTTTAGAGGACACACAGCACAGAGGACTTCATCAGTCTCTTCTCCAACAGCATCTCAGAGGTCCTCCGCTTTGATCTCTCTACCTGCTGAAGCACTGCCAAGGGAGAGACAGAGAGAGAGAGCGATTGCATGAGTTCTCCCTCATCATCCCAGAAATATTGATCGTCTCATCACTGTGGCCTTGCAGCCCGTAATAAATACAGCTGGAGTGATGGAGGCGGAAGGAGGGGGGGAGTATGGGTAGGTGGGTGCTGTGCTGACTCTAAGTCAGGTTATTAGCCCTTAATGCAAGACGGCACTCCACCAAGTACATGCCATTAAACACCCTCCTCCCCAATTCTCCAGTGACTGATTAATGGGACATGTGAAATTTCTGGCATTCCAAATCATATTTAGCATTATTCAAAATGGCCACACTGGTGCATCATGTGAGTACAGATCTCATGTATAGAAGAGAAAAAAAACCCACATTTTATTTCTCTTTATATTGGTCTGAGTCCAGAGCCGTGCACACTTACTGTAGAAGACCCTTTGTTCTCCTACAGCAGAGAGATTTCTGCATCGCAATAAAAGTCTGAGCCAAATGTACTCCTACGCTCCGACATCCCTTAGAGAGAGGCTGAATGGACTCTGATAAAAAAGGAACCAATAAGAGTTCTGAGTAGATGGGGCATCTGACTCGCCACACTCTGTTATTATAGTAACCAGTCTGCAACAAAAGCATTCACAAAAGCTGCATTAGTCTTCTGGAACATCTAACTTCAAATGAAGTGAGCCATCCCGACCTCAGAGGGTGTAATCAGTGATTACAAATGCAGTGCTGTTACATGGAAACCGAAGGACAATGTAATGCGATGCAAAAAAATGATTAGGGCAGCCCACTGAAGGTCAGTGTTTTAAAGCATCAATCGAAGATAGCCAATTCAACTGAGATTCTCTGAGTTGCACATTTGATTACCCGTGTGACATAACATGCTCATGGTCAACCAGTGGGAGGAGCAAAAATCTAAGACAGAGTGCTACTATTTTCCATCCATCCATCCATTCATCCATCCATCCATCCATCCTCTGCCACTTATCAAATTCAGGGTTGCACGGGGGCTGGAGCCTATGCCATTTGGAAAACTTTCAAAAACTCAGGCAGAGCTTGTCTATCAACGAACAGCAATGTTGTGTGCTACCTGGATAATTATGCAAATCATTGTAATACCTTGGCATTGTCACGAAAGGATGGGCAAAATAAGTAAATAAATAATGAGCGGACATTTAAATCATTATACTGAATGAGCTAATCCTATTTTATAGACAAAACTCTTGTTCTTTTAAGGAACAGTCAATATAATGGAAAGCAGACCAAAGTATCCAGGTGGTAACTTTAGCTTGAACTTGTTAAAATTGTCTTCACCTTTGATTTGTGCTACCAAAAGATGCTAAGGCCACTTTTTCAGACAAGCTCTTTTTATGACAGGATTACTCTCTGGTCTCTTTGTTTTCAATACTGTGGAAAATACATATCTCTCTAAATGGTCTGCTTACACATGTTTGTTTCAAATATGCAAGGGATCTTTACACACCAAAATCAGTGATGAATGTATGCACTGTGCATGTGTTAGCTCACAGACACACTCTTTACATAAGCTCCTGGGCTCGACAAAAATAGCATGCCATATTAAATCAATGAGATTGGCATGTTTCAGAAACAACATTCACAAAATGTCAAAACCAAACTGCGGCATCATAAGGCTCCTGCTGGGAACTAGTGTAGTGAGCAATAAGGGGCCACTCTTCCCTTCTCTTCCTTTTTTCGTCAGACACAAAGTTGTGCAGTCATTATTACTTAGGAGATTTGGCACTAAATCAAGGACAAAAACGCGGCACATACTGACTGCTAATCACCGCGGTGATGCTGACATATTTTTAAAGAAGCAAATGGGAGACGACAATGGTGCGGCTGTGGCCACCTGCTAAGCTCTGCGTCTCCACCCCTTCTCCTAAGTGCTGGATAAAGGCGTCCATGACTATCATTACCAGCCGAGCAGCCAAAGTAACGCAGAGAGATCGGCTTGGCAAGCCAAATAAAGACAGATTCCAGGTGAGCATGTGTTGAGATGAATTCTGCAGCTGCACAGCAAATAAATAATGGCCATTCTGTTAACTGCTGACCGTGCTTGAAACAACTGTTTGCTCTTCGAGACTTAAATGATAGGGACAGATTTGATCTAGAAGTTTTAAAGCTGCGAGTCGAGGCAGAGAGCCCATTCTTACATCTATATTGCCTCTCTCTCTTTCACTTGAATGTGTGTGTGTGTGTGTATGCCTCTGAGTGTCAGATACAGTTTAGTAAGTAATATGATGTGGGAAACAATATGTGGGGGTACAGGAAAATTAATCAGAGCTAACCATCTCAATTAGATGGGAAAGGACGAAGGAGTTTACATTAAAAAAAAATGATATATACGTAACTTTCCCAAACAGTTCATCATCCCAATTCCTATTGATCCCCTAAAGAGTCCCACAAGACACTCCTACTGAAAAATCTTAAAGTAGCTAATCACTCAAGAAGCCCACAGGGATTCGTTGAGAAACCGCAGGGGCAAGTATTGGGTCCGTCTCTAATCTAGCTGTATGTAAACACATTAAGACTTTACACATGGCATACTCATTATCCAAGCTCCCACAGATGCCGATTGCAGGGAGAGATCTGTTCTCTTGACAAAGTCTTTTGTGTGCAGTTTCCATCACCCTGCCAACACAGTTTCATAGCATTGCTTACCAAAGAGCAGAAGATGAAGGTGGCCTCAGTTAAGTCTTTGACCGTAACAATAATAATTAAAATCCTGTGATTTTGTTTATATAATGCTTTTCACTCTTCACTGCATAACTGTGTAATTACGTATTAAGGTTGATCTTATAAGTTGAAGATGCCTTTGTTGCAGGCAAAGTCACACAACATAACATATTCTCATTAGCAATATGCAACATACACTTAAATACTTATCATTATTCTAAAAACACATATTATACTCGTCACTATCCCTTTTACCAGCAAGGCACATCTCACTCATTCAGATCTCCTTTTGCCTTCAGAACAACCTTAATTCATTATAACATAGATTTAACCTAAGTTCTGGAAACATTTCTCAGAATTTTTAGACCCTATTGATATGAACGAGTCACAGACTTGCTGCAGATTTGCTGGGTGCACATTCATGATACCAGT